AGACCCTGTCTTCAATGTTGACAGCTCCCAAGAGGACAGCCTAAGGTTATTTTCTACTCTTGATGCGTGCACACACTTGTGTATATGCACCTGCACACACATCTACACACACACACACACACACACACACACACACACACACACACACACGACATGCAGGGGAAGATGAGATGCTATAAACAGAGTTTGTACAAAGAAACAGGGCATGCCCATTAAGGGCACTGAGGCACAGTGCAAGCATCCCTTGCAGAGCAAGTATCCCCAACAGTGACACAGCAGTAGGGAGCTGGAGATGGTGCAAGCTGCTCCCACACTTGCCAGCACTTACAGAGTGCTGGCCACAGGCAGCTGTGTTTCCAAGAGCTTTACAGGAAGTAAGTCACCTGATGCTCTTGATGAGCGTGGAGCCCTGAGCAGGGAGGTGGAAGCTTAGTTCTGTCACAGTCTTTCACCCCAGTCTTCCAGCATAAAGACCTTGTTACATTAGATAGGTGACAAAGCCTGTGTGTATTTTAAGGCCCTCTGTAACTCAGGATGCAAGCTAATACCAGCTGACCTAGAGAAAGGACCCTGGGCTCTGGAGACCTCAACCTTGTCTTATCCAATGCAGCAGGAGCATCAGGCTGTGAGTCCCTCTGCCCACACACCTGCTTTTCACTGTTTCCTTCTCAGGGGCTTCTAGAGCATCTATGTCCCAGATCCTCCTTGAAGGCTGAGATCCCAACTTTTGGGGTTCAGTTCCACTTCTTCCTGTTGTATCTTGTATTGCCCAACATTCCGGCCTGGTCTTCATTCCCCTCTCTCTTCCTCTGGCTCTCCTGTCATTAACAAAAACTCCCCAGACCCTTGCAGAGCCCTACAGCAGAACTGTCCCGAGAGAGAAGCAGTGGATTTAATAAGCTTCCCCTTAAATGGCCTCAATCCCTTCCAGTTGATTAGGGGAGAAAACAACGATGGACCGCAGGACAGTTGCCGTGCTGGAGGCGAGGGAGGGAGGGAGAAGAAAGGAAGTCGCCCAGATCCTGGGGCCTCAGGGACCAAATTAAGAAAGCAGCACCACTTATTCAAAATCAGATGAATGTCAGTGGAGTGTTTGTCAAACAAACTTGTCATTATTTGTCACAATTTGAGGACGTATCCGTCAGTCGTCACACTGGAGCGTGTAACAGCTATTTATAGCTGCCAGCCGAGAGTTTTAACTCATGCAGGGCCAAGGCTCCACGGTATAAACAGATTTATTTATAATGATTGCGTGGCTATAAATAGTTGGGTTTGGTGAGTGTCGAAGAACAGCTCTGGAATGTTCTGTCGGTGCCAGCGGTGGCAGGAGGGCTGACAGCAGGGAGATGCATCGTGGATTTTTTTTTTCTTCTTTCTCTTTGGAGACTCTTTCTGGATGTCCTTGGTCAGGGTACACCCCTTCCTCAGTGTTCCCCTTCGGAAGGGGAGCAGTGCTCCTCAGCGTTTCCAGGAGATGGTACAAGTTACTCACTTAATTAACATCTGCCCCAAGATCCTCTTTTGAAAGGGAGCCCAGTCCAGGGTTTGCCTCCTTTGTGCCTATTCATGGACAATGAACTAATTACAGACTCTTTTCTCCCGCAGGGTTGCGGGGGTGGGGACGGTGGGGGGTGGTTATCCTGTTATTCCAGTGAGCAGGCAGCTCTCCAAAGGGTTGTGTGTAGCTTCAGATTTAATTTGGACGATAGTGTCCTCTCTTCCAAAATAAGAGTTTATCAGAAATTTACTAGTTTCTCATGTCAGTAGAGCCCGGGTTAGGGAGAAGGGTGGGAAAGGGGGACGGACCAAGGAGAGGGAAGGGAGTGTGTGCACATAAATTGTATTTGGAAAATACATAGGTCCACCGGTGTAAAACCTGATGATTATAGCGTTTGGCACAGGGGCAGTGGCCACCCACTGTCGGGCCTCTACCCCTGCCCTCAAGAATACATACCTGTTTATCATGTGGAGGTTTCTGGTTTCCTACGTCTTCCCAATTCCACTGGCGAAAAGCTCTCATACGGCTGGACTCAATCTTATTTTGCATTTTTTTTCCCCAAAAAGAAAAGGTGTGTCCATGGAAAAGAATTTATTGGATCTTAATTTGCAAGATTAGTTCTGGTTCATTTTATTGCTGTAATCTAATACTCATAATGATTTTCTGACACATATGTTTTAGCAGCAAGAGCTACTTCCTATTCATTTTTCATTTCGATACAGCTAAAGTAGATTAGGCGGGATGGCACACATCGGGGAGTGTGGTACCCGGAGAGAAACTGGCATCACACCACTGCTGTGGTTCCAAGCTGGCAGCGAGGCTCAGCTGGGCACTGGGGATGGGACGGCAAAAGCCAGAAGTCCAACTTCCAGAGCTGTTGCTTTGTTTATATTTTCTGTTTCCCTCCGGTCACCATCTACATCATCATTCTTATCATCATCAATACCGTACTTCTTTGTCTGAGGATGCCTGTGAGTCGGGCTCTATCCGGTTAAAAGGCACTTCAACACCTCTGCAGCGATATAGGTCCTGGGTTCGAACTGATAGTTGGGTTCTCTGGATGTCAAAGAACGGCTCCCTGGAAGGGTCTGCCGAAGCCAGCGTCAGGGCTGGGAGAAGTCATTAATGGAGAGATGGATCCAGAGCGTGTTTGCCTCTCTTCTGGAACCCCAGTGTTGCAGGACCCGGAGGGAGGTCCGAGCATTCTGACCCCAGTGCCAGGCAGCAGGGCCCATTCAGAGAAAATCAAATTCCTGGCTGGAATCTCCCAGGTAATGTCCTTTTGTTTCTGCACAGACGCCTCCTCCCATATGTCGCAGGCTCTCTCCGCGTTTGTGGAGAGTGAAAGCAGGTTTCGCCTCTTCTGGAATTTGACAGTCTCTCTGGGAAGTTAAGTTGTGCGTTTAAAAAGGGTG